GTCACGAGCGCAGTGTCATGGTCACTGGGATAATTTCGCAGGGTGGAGTCATCTGGGCGGCGGTCTCACATTTGCATTTACACATTTGTGTGCAACGCGAAGACTCACACGTATATGCCATCATTTTTATAATGTCGCTGGCATCACTCTGTTTCCTCTCTTATAATAATTGTCTCACCCGCTTTTTCTCTCTAGCTCTATGTATATAGCCCTCTATATAGACCCTCATGTCAAAGTTCTTGTGTTTTCACTATCCTTTTCACTTTCATTTTTATGATGGGATTTCAGAGCTTGCTGCATATTCCAATGTGTATCTTCATCTGTGTATTTTCGCCATTACTTGTGAGAAATCATTTGACAAGTATTCATAAATCAAGAAAGATATTTGAACAAACCTTTTGTTATAGTATATATATATATATATATATATATATATATATATCTGTTGATGGGCATATGAGATTAAACATGCACTCAGGGTTAGACAAGATTAATTCCGGGATTTGACTTTGTAAAATTATTAATGAAATACTAAAACAATGGAGAAAAAAAAGATGAATTTCTATTAAAAACTCTAAAGAAAAACTTTTGATAATTTGAACACTTTGATGCTGATTATCTAGCTCCAGTCAAATGCAACATACATAGTTTTCACCTATGATCTTAGAAATCTATAGGCAAAAGCACTCTAGTAAACAGCTTACCAAAATGATTCTTTCAATAGAATATGGAGACTCAAGTTCTGCAGCTTTTGAAGGATTATATGGCATGCATACAGCTTAGGAAAATAATGAAGTTGAAGCCAATAAAGATTCCTCTAAGACCATTCTCATTTGTGTGCATCAACCTCACCAAAGTACCATGAGTTTAGCAGGGCATATCACACAAACCTAAGAGCCCACTTGGGCCAAACTTGGATTGCCACCATGTCTTGAGTGAGAATCTCCCTCTTGGTATGTAGCCCCTAAAGAAAACCAATTGCTCCACTAGTAGCCTCCAATTCTAGGGCTCCATAGAAGTGTCATATAGACATTCTTGATCCATCCATCCAGTCTTCATCATCTCCCTAGCAGCTTAGCCACTTGGCCCTCTCCACATGCCTTCTTCCCATATAGCATCTCACTTCCTTTTTCTCTTGGCCACCATGCCTTTTCTAGCCAATTCCTCCATCTTACAATACCTTTGCCTCATGGCCATTCTTAGACTCAAATCAATGAAACATCATTTCAATCTCACACTATCTTGTAGGTTTGTATTGCTTTACTTTTCTATTTTAATTCAAACAAGTTACAAGTTACTGCAAAGTACAAAGTGAGGATTAGAGATCCTTCTCCCTACTGCTCTAGGTCAATGACTTCCACACCCTCTAGTGACAATCTTCTTTTCTCACAAAGATTCTATCACCTAATGTTCAAAACCTAAACAAGACAATTGCCATCATCGAGCAAAAGATGGTAGTAGTATGACAGGACATCCAGTATCTAGAAGAACTCCTGTTTCCTATCTCTCTCTCTCTCTCTCTCTATTCAAGACAAGTTTGGTATGCATATATCTCAGAATGGTGCCACTTGACAAGCTGATCCCCTTTGATATACCAAGGAATCTTATGGTTCCACAGAATCTTTAGGAGTCTTGTGAACAGTTGTGGAGACTCAATGTTCCCAAGCATGGAGGAGTTGTTAAAGAGTATCTTCAGCAAGTCAGAGTAGACAAGAATCATTCTTATAAGGCACATGGCCACCTTTGTGAGTGTTATAGTCGGATTCTGGCATGGATCACATATAACAGATATCACCAAGGGCACCAACATGAGTGTAGTATTACAAGTGAGCATACAATAATGAATTGGTATAAATTATGTTATGATATTGGTATTATCACATTAGAATGAGATTTAAAAGATTGATAGTCAATTATAGAAATTGATAAAATTAATTTTGGTAAGAAAAATTATAATCATAGTAGAAGAATAGAAGGTTAGAAGGTCTTTGAAGGAATTGAAGATGATTTAGATAAAATGTTTATAGTTCTAGTATACTACACAAACTTTAATTAATATATTATATACATATGTTAAACATAGGAGTTTATATGGTGAAGCATTAACAAAACTCTACACCTCTGTGACATATGCATACTGAAAAGATAGAAATACACATCCCAATCCAAATGCTGAAAGTTCATATAATTCATGATCATCCCTTTGAATGTCCAAACGAGCTGTTCCACCAAACCATCTAACTGTGAAAGTGAACATGATGATAAGCACTTGTGAAAGTGTGGCATATCCCCAACCGAGATGTCAAAACATGAAATGCCTCATGTATAAATGCGGGACCATTATCTAAAAGAATCTGCTCCAAATAAAAATGCTAAAACACCACTTGATTGAGGAAGAAATATCTAACAGCAATTGCAAAAGTGCTAGTAAGAGCATCAACTTTCACCTAGCTATGAGCACAAAATACCTAGGCCCCAAAGTGGAGCCGGAAGGGTGCCACGTGGTAGTGGCCAAAGCGAAAGCCAAACGAGCGTAACACATTTGGACTAAAAACTCCGACTTGAAAGGTCGAGAGCGGGAGTGGAACTCTCAATAAAGGGGCTCGAGGAATGAGCACGAAGCTAGCAATAAGTGAGGCTCTGAAAAAGGACCTAAAAGGACCAACACATGACATGTGGAAGGACCTGAGACGGAGTCCGAGATGGACCAAGATGGAGTTCGAGATGGACCGAGACAGAGTCTGAGATGGACCGAGACGGAGTCCGAGATGGAGTCCGAGATGGATCTGAGACAGAGTCCGAGATGGAGTCCGAGATGGAGTCCAAGATGGACCCGAGGTGGAGTCTGAGATGGAGTCCGAGATGGACCCGAGGTGGAGTCTGAGATGGACCCAAGATGGAGTTCGAGATGGAGTCTGAGATGGACCCGAGATAGAATCCGAGATGGAGTCCGAGAAAGACCCGAGATGGAGTCCAAGGTCGAGACCAAGACCGGGACCAAGACCGGGACTGAGACCGAGACCGAGACTGAGACCAAGATCGGGACCGAGACTGAGACCGAGATCGAGACCGAGACCGAGATCGGGATGTAAGCTCCTGAGTTTAGACTTCCCGAGAGGTCACCCAGCCCAGTACTATTCTAACCCAAGGACACTTAATCCCAAATATCCCAAGACCCTTAACCGATTGGAAAAGGGGGTGCACTCTTATTCATGGGCCCTTTCCCTCTATATTTGAACCCCATGGATCGTCTCTCAAGTCGTTCCCTTTGGTTGCTTACACGGGACCGAGACTGAGGCCGAGACTGAGACCGAGGCTGAGGCCGAGACAGAGCCCGAGCCCGGTTCCGAGCCCGAGTCCAAGCCCAAGTCCGAGTCTGAGTCCGAGTCTGAGTCTGAGTCTGAGTCCCAGTTCGAGTCTGAGAGGGTGAAAGCCCAAAGCGTTCGTCTCCCAGACCCTGGGGGGTTTGGTGAGCTCCAAAAGTATAGTAAGGGGGAGGATTGCAGTGGAGCTAGTTTGGCCAGGAAAGGCCAGTTTGGCCCAGGAAGGTTGTACCCAGTGTTGGGTGATGAGCTGCCCACTAGGAAGTCCAAGACTAGAGTGAACACGGACCAACAAGCAGGGTGACTTGGTGAAGTGCTCAAGAGCCGGCTCTAGTTCCCCCGGGAGATCGACTAGCCGATACTCCCAGTCCAAGTGTGGGTGGCACTACCTACTTGGATACTTGGTGTGGCTCAACAGAACCTTGCTCTAAGCCCATGGCTAGAGCACCCAAAGGTAGAAGGTGGGGAGAGTACCCATGAGGCTCGTGTAAGGCCACGGTGTTCCGACATGTTGTCCCAAAGGCCCAGACTGTGGAGAGGAAGAGAAGTAGCCCTCTGGTGTAGTGACCAAGGATACAGTCGAGTGGTGAGGAAGTCCCAGAGGACTGTAGGACTTAGTGGTCGGGCCTGTGGGCCTCGATCCAGTGGCAGTGTTGGCAAACACAGCCATGAGCAGAAAGGGACTTGGTGGGGACCAGAAAAGGGATATTGGGGAAGGCTATTCCCCATGTCTGTGGGCATCCTAAGGATGCTAAAAAGTGAATTTGGGATGATCGCTCATAGACGGATGGCCCAGTCTTTGAGAGACGGGACTGTGATGGAGGTGGTGTCAGACCACCGGTGTGACCAAGGTGAATGGGCATGGCTTTAGCGTAATAAGCCGATATGTCGGTGGTACCTTGGGGTGTCGGTCATGGGATCGGACACGTGGAGCACTTGGACCAAGTGTAATAGTGGAGTGGCATGGATGCCATTTTTGGGGCTAGCAAGTCCCTAAGTCCAAAATAGGACTTATGGAGGTTGTGAGTGAGACTTCTCCAAGTGGTTAGAGGTGTGGTTAAGTGACTAAAGTAAAATGGAAAATTTAATTTCTTACAACTTGGTATCAGAGTTGTTTCTTATTGAGCATACTCAGCCCGGTTTGAGAAACTCCTGTCATTGGCTTGCACTTGTTAGTATCAAAAACCCCCGCGATATTGAGATTGGTCCCTCAATATTCGCTAAATGATAGCTTATCGTGTCTGCCAAATACCCTCACTATCATGCCTTTTGAGTTAGTCTCATTTCGGTCTTGTTCTGAACACAATGGTGTTCATCCCATGTCCAAATTCGCATTCTAGCGCTATTTCATATTTAGTAAGTTTCAAGTTTTTCCCAGAGACTAACTCCTAATACTAAGGGATGTGTTCCTCAAGAGGGGGGACTGTGGGGGGCTCCAAATGTATAGTAGGAATAGTGGGTAGGCCGAGCATGGCTGACTAATCTGAGGCATAATCTAGCTCTTGGTTGCGTGCCTGTCATTATTCTACGTCCGACTTGGGTCTAAGCCCAAGTTCCATTCCATGCTAGCTAGTGGAGTTCCCATATCGTTACATTAAGCCACCAGTATACTAAAATTTGTTCGTTTGGCTCCGTTTGGCTTGTTTGGCTAGACTTCGTTTGGCTCCGTTTTGCGTGTTGGTCCTGGCATTGGAATGCTGGTTGCTCTAAGATTATTCCAAGTCACTCTATGCCCCTGTCCCTTTGCTCCTTGGGCTGTACACTCGGGAGTTGCTCCATGGTTCGGTTCCGTCACTCCTTGGCTCCATGCTTGGGAGTTTGACACCGTTCCTTTGTTCAGTGGCCCAAGGCCCTGAAACTTGGGTTCCATGCCACTATCCTTTGGACACGTGGCATATGACACATGGCATATGTCAGGTGGCACAAAGAGGGTTTAAGTTCCGCTTCATGGTTATCCTATGGTAAATCACTATAGGGTAAAAGGTCAAAATCACGTGTGCTAATCCCCACGAGTGGCTGTGCTCAAACCATTGTACCACTACAGCACCATCCTTTAGAGACACATAGGAAACTCATGCAAATGTCGAGCATCATCCTAACAATGATATGTGGCAATCACCGTGAAGTGATCAAACCAATGGTATATATTATCTCTAGGATTCCCACAAAAGAACTCCAGCCAAATGCAAGGATTGGCACTAAGAGTAGGAAGAGCTATACCATGTGCTATGAATGCCATCATCAACTGAGTTTAGTTGTTGAATTGTAATCACATAGCATCAAACAATTGCACCAACTACTACTCCAGAGTCAAAGGAGGAGGAAACTATTACTCTACCATGAAGATGAATGAAATGGAAAGAGCAAAAGAAATGAAATGAAAAAAAGCTAGAAGGAAAGGGAGATTTAGACAATACAAAAGATCTAAACTAAAATCCTGAAAGGAAATAACAAAAGAAAGGAAATGGAAAAAACCAGATCTAGATGATGTAAAAATTAGATTTAAACTAAAATCCCAAATCCAAACACTCCTCAGGGACAATCACATGTGCCCCTCACCTCCACCAATATGAGTGCATGGAATATGAAAAGGAATATAAAAAATGTGCATATTAATTAGCCTAAAAACCCTAGTTTATATACAAGAGCGAGTGGTCCAAATTGAAACCAATTTGACAACTACCAAAATCCCACTATACTAATATTAGTATACTATAGCACACATGGTTTTTACCCTTTATTCTATGGTGATTTACTATAGGATAACCATGAAACGGAACTTAAACCCTCTATGTGTTATATGCCACATGCCACATGCCATATGTCCAAAAGACTGTAGAGTTTTAAAGCTTTAGGCCATTGAACAAAGGAACTAGGTTAAACTCCTAAGCATGCAACTAAGAAGCAAAAGTACTAAAGCATGAAATGACTTAGAATAGTCTTAAAGCATCTAGCATCCTAATACCAAAACCAACATGCAAAACGGAATTAAATAAAGTCTAGTGTTATTTCAGTATACCAGTAACCCACCAATTAACATGGTATAGAACTTGGGCTTAAACCTAAGCTAGATGCAAAACAAAAGCAAACACACAAACAAGAGCTAAATTATACTTTAAGTTAACCCACCACCCATTACCCCTACTATTTTATACATTTGGAACATGCAATCCTTAAAGCCGTAGGAACTATTCATAAAAAAGAGAGTAAGCTCTTCCCCAGCAGTGGGATTCCAAGTCTTTCTTGCACCCACTGTTTTGAGCCTTCCGAAGCCTCTTGCTCGTCTGATCAGCTTCTCGGGGCCCTTCGTGAGGCTGTGGAATCGTTCCTGCAATGGGTCTCCGACTTCACAGCAAAACAAGCAATCTCGCTGCTCTCTTGCCTGGCAATCTCGGCAGCCTTGTGGACGGTGTCCACGGCCTCGCTGGTTTCCACCACTGCTTGTCTCTACCGCGGCGAGGAGACTTCCAGGTGGGAGGTTCTTCACTTCAGGCCGAGGGTGTGGTTACCGTTGCTCAGCGTTGCCCTGTGCTCGTTCCTGATCCAAGCGCTTGAGTTTGCCATCACTTTTCTCATAGCGACTTATCTTGACGAAGTGCTGATCTTGATATCAATGTTTTCACTGGTGGCATTCGCTGAATACTTCTACATGGTGGCTTCACTTGCTGCTACTGTTGCGGTGCTGGATGGATTCGCTGGGGTGCGAGCACTTCGAGAAGCAGCAAGGCTTCTCCACCGAAATCTGCTCACGGGCTTGGCGCTGTGGTCGATGCAGTTGAACGTGAACGCTTTGACTAGCTTTACGGGCAGAAAGGAATGGTGGTGGATAGTGCTCTGGATCCTCGTGGTGTCTATAGGCTCTTTGTGGTGGTCGAACGTACACGTAGTGTTTTATTTCTCGTGCAAGCCGGACGAAGAAATGAACCAAGATTATACTCCGTTGGCTTGAGACTTAAATACTAATCTTTGAATGAAGTGTTTGGCAATTCCTTGCGAAAAAACCGAGTTTTACAATCTCTCTCGCAGATTTTAGAGAAACAGTGCCTAGTAACATTTCCAGGAAGAAGTTGTTCGTAACATTGTCTGACAGAAGGAACCTCAAGATATGGTGAAATCTAAACCTTGCAAAGTCATGCATCTTGATTGGCTTGAGCATACTCTTTTATAAATTCCTGGCGAATATGACCGAGTTTTACAATCTCTTTCGCAGATCATACAGTACCTGGAAGTTTTTAGTAACAAAGATATGGCACCTCGAAATCTAAACCGGAAAGTCATGCCACGGAACCCTGTTCGCAAGTGGACTGCCTTGCCAGTTAAGTGGACGTCCTCCAAAATGCCAAGGGTAAAGAACAAAAGGAGAAAATAAAGCATTCAGCAAAATTCCATGTTTCGGGAGAAAATAGCCCAAACGTACCTCTATGATCGAACCATCGCACAGCTGATTGTGACTAAAATCGCCGTAGATTGGTACTAAAGATTCTGTGGAAATGCTCGTGATTCGCTCAGCAGTGATCAAGAAACGACGCAAGTATTCTACGACAATGGAATCAATCAGACATCAGCAGTAGTCGACGGATAAAGTGCATAGCTTCCAAAACGTGAAGCCACTTACCTGGTGCTCGCGTTGACAACTCAATTCTATTTTGCTGGAGAATGGATCAACAACGAGTTTGCGTTCACTGTTCCGTGACAATCCATCGTAAAGATCCAGATTCTGACAAGCCTGCGATGTAGAGATTAGTCAATGGTCGGATATAACGCCGTCAAAAGGATCCCACCAAATGCCAAACAAATACTGTCGAGCACAAGCTTTGCCGCGACTTGCATAATGCTCCTCCCAATAGAATCCACTAGAATACATGGTGAAGACGAATCGATCCTAGCAACAACATCAATGAACAGAGTGAAGAGAGGAAAGAGACGGGAAAAACGTTTTAAGTACCTGATAACTAACGCTGGCCTGGATTATAAACTCCATAGCCTATAGCTCGCTCGTCTGTATTCAAAAGGAAATAAGGAAAAACTCTGCCGAGAACAACAAGGTTTGTAGCTATGTGGCTCCTTGCCAAACTCCAAAATAGAAACTCGCTAGAATTCAAGTACCTTGTACTCGCTTCCAGCATAGCCGATTGAGAATATGGATCACCACCAACAATGACAATGATTAGCAGAGGCCAGCCAGCAGCTACACATTGTTGAGCTCAGCTCCGCTCATTCCCATCCTCTCCTCCACCAAACGAATATTTGCCACGTATAATCTAAAACTTCCATTATGTTCGTTGCAGCACAAGAGAACCTCATGCCAATCCCGACAAGAGCTAAGTAACGAGTATCATTGAACAGTAGCATACACACAATATCTTACCTTGTACATACAGTCAGAGCATTAAGAGGAGGACAGGGGAAACGAAGGCTGCTCAGAGAGAGAGGAAAAGAGAACTTAGTGGGGAATAGTGACCTCTAGCGGCTTCTGGCTGAAGTAGACTGGACACTCGCGTATACTTCCACTCCGCCACCTCCACCCCTTTCTGGGGGTTTGTTGTTTGGTTGAAGTGAAGAAAGGGAGAGGTGTGTTGTGTTGGTCTCCGGGATCGGAGTAATGATTAATGGACGTTATTCCAGCAGCAAGAACCTGCGAGTGAAAACACCAGTTTTAACTTAATTCAGAACGCGGTTTTTCAAGCGTCCACCTCTTTAAATAAGTCTTGGCATTAGTCACCATGAACATCCTGTGCACTTCAGAAAACGATACCGACCAGGGAGAATAAACAAGCAAAAGTTAAGAAATGGCTGTACCTTGTAGAGGAAGCAGATCCGCCTTGGAGCCCGAAGGAGCAAGAGCTTAACGATCGTCTCAAAGTCGTAGCCACCAGCACGCACTTAATAAGCTCCACAAATTTAGTCTCGTGCACCGGCCCGCACTAATCCCACGGGTGAGATTCCTGAATCTGAAAAAACTCGTGAAAATCAGTGCTCGCTCACCCAAAAAGAAAACATTATCCACCACAAAGAAAGTAAAGTTGGAAGGGGCAAAAGGCATTCTTATTCTGATCCACAGAAGTTTGATTTCCATAACGTGTCCAAGGTTGCCACATGAGTTACTAACGTTAGAGAAACATTCAGGGTCAAGGAAGTTTTAGTTTCAATTCTTATTTACTGAATGATTCAGTCAAATGAAATAGAGAATTGTTTTTATTCATTAATTCACAAACAAAACAGTACTAAGTACATATGTTTCCCCATTAATGTCGCTTGGCCGACTGGTTAAGGCGTGTGCCAAGTACATGGGGTTTCCTGCGAGAGCAATTAGTACAGGTGTATTTAATGCATTACATTTTACAAACACTCGAGGAACTTTGTCTAGCCAATGTGAATAACTTGGACCAAGAGCGCCACTGGATGCTTGCCATCCCTTGTTTCATCACTTGGAAGCACTTAAGGTACATGCTCTTGTCCTGGAGGATCCTGGCCATTGCAAACCTCATCGCCCCCAAGGGGCGCATAGAGATTGTTGGTGCCCCAGGCAAGCAAGTAGGCCACCAAAAAGCCTGCCTACACGTCCATTCCCATCCCTGAACGGGTGGACGCTCTCAAACCTGTAAAAGAAGGCAGCACTAATGCTTGCCACCTTTGCAACCCTGAGCTTGGGATCTGTTGCAAATGCCTCCTCGAGGGATTTGTTGGTAGATGACACTAGCTGCTCCAGAGTCGCCAGGACCTTCTTAGGATCCATGTGGTGTTCCAGATCCATCTTGCTTGGAGACCTTTGCTCCTTTGCTTAATAAACAGTGGAGCAAATCTCATTCAAGGCAATACTTGCACCATATTTATAAGCGGTGGGAATGAGGTCGTCATCCTAAGCCTCAGGGTGCGATAATTTGAGGAGCGAATGTTCATGTTTCTTGTCTGTAAACCACACTTCCAAGTCTGGACATGGATATCATCTCCTTAACTAGGTGTGTGGCCCAAGTAAGCCACTACTTTCACCATACAAGAGACCTGGCGGTTAAGAGATTAGGAATGAGAACGTGGTGTATCCAGGGTTTGTATGAGAAACAAACATACGTCAATGAACCCTTTTGTTGCTGCTTGAGTATATTGTGGGGAGAGTACACCTTCTTGTATGATATGATGTACACACCTTCATTGCCTCCGGGGGCTTCATCTCCATGTCAATCTGCTGCACAGCTCAATACTACTGAGCAGGAATTGCTCACTGCACACAGATTTAGAGCTCGCTAAGAATGGATTGACAAGAAGTATCCCTGAAGAGTTGGAATGTCTGTGCTTCAAAGCTTGTATGATTCTTTGTTTTTATGTTTCGATTTAATATTGTTTCAAGCATATTTCAGTTTTGTAGATGGTCTCTAGCATCTTGCAGAAGAGATAGCATTCAGTCATGCAAGGAGAGAAGCCAAGAAGCTCCATGACCAGGTTCTCTCCAGAGGCTAGAACACAGTCTTAGTGAATTGAGTCCAGCCCAGTGAGGGTGGACGAGAATTCCAAAGCAAATTAATTTGTATAAATTTAAAAATTGTTCTATATCTATCACAATAAGGAGGAGTTGCTGAACTTTCTAGGCTGCCGAATCCAGCCAATCGCAGCCGTCTGATGGGGGGTAACTGTAAAGGGGTTATTTTTTTAACCACGTGTTAGCGAATAATCGCGCTAATGTTTGCAATGGGAGGCGGCCAAGCTGTGTGTGGCGGGAGAAGAAGGCCTAGTGACACGTGGCACATGCAAAGTGTTGACTAGAGATTACTGCTCTAGGGTGTCACTTAGGTAGGATCAAGTAGGTCGTGGCCCTTTAGGGCTCACAATGGAGCGTGGAGCTTTTGAGGTAGCTCGGGGGTGGTTGGGTGGTGAGAAACCTTAAGAGGTGGCATAGTATAGTCTAAGGCGATTAGATCTCTGTCTTCTTGTGCCGGATCATAACATTGGTATCAGAGGGAGCATGTTGTGGATCGCAATTTCTTCTGGTGGGTAAGCAAATCCACTCCCAAATGATTGCTGTTGGTTGGGATTCGAGCTTGATCGTGTCTACTGTGCTGATTGACATGTATGCCGCGTGTGGCAGCTTGCGAGGCACGATTCGTGTGTTCCAAGGGATGAAGAAGAAAGATGTGGTGGCCTGGACAGCAATAGTAGCAGGATTTGCCCAGTATGGGCATTTGGAGAGGGCCTTTCTTATGTACAGGGGGATGCTCCTGGAAGAATTCTTTGTGGCCTGTGCCAGGCATTACGAATGACAGCAGGGATCCCTGCGTCGACACCTTTGGCACAGGAACACTGCCAATGCTTAAGCACTTTAGTGTTTAATGCCTAGAACTAGGTTGTTGCCCGCGGAGCTCCTCCCTTGGGTGGTAGTGAGGTTGTCCTCAAAGTTCCCATTGTCCCCAAGAGCCTCACGGTCAATTTCTCCAAACTCCTCTTCTTTTCTTTCTCTCCTTGCTAAGAATCCTTCGCCAGGCTGCTACATGGGTGGACGAGGGCATGGTGAAATGTATCCGAGGAGTGAGTTACTCCACACGCATCTCACCTCATATGGCCAATCGAATGGTTGATGCCGCTCGTGGCGTGCTAAATCACTTGCTCTCTGACGCGTACATCTTTACCAATCACTACACTGGTTCAGAGTCCGGGAAGTAAGTTCCATGATTTTGTGCTGCAAGGTAAAATTTTTTCATCTTGCTTCCTTTGTCATGGCACAGATCTCTGGGCTATGGGATCTCACTGGTGGCAGAAACGACCACCGGTTGCATTTTAAGCTCCGAGTGCGTGGCTACGTATTCAGGAGCATATGAGCTCCAGCTTCTAGAGGACCTGGGGATGCAAGCAGCCATGTCCTTGCTACAAGAGATAAAGCTGGGAGGAGTTGTAGATTCAACTCACCAGGTATCTATCTGTGAAGCTGGAAAGGAAAGAAGTTGATCTCACAAACTTTCCTGTTTGCCATACAGGGGTTGCTGTTCATCCTCTGTGCTCTGTGCCCAAAAGATGTTTCCAAAGTCAGGGTCGGGAAGCTCTCTTCCCGACCATCAAAGAATTCCTGGGAGTGCAGTTTAGTATCAAGCCTTACCCGAATCAATTACATGGAACTTTTTCTTACCACGCTAGAAGCCATCGGTCTTTTCCAGCAGCAGTGCGTCCACTCTCCTTGATGTGCACAGTGATTCGAGCCGTGGCCTCAAACTCCAGCCAGCCATCCATGACGATCATCTGCCTCTCATCGTCATCATTTGCTGATGCTCCCACTGAAGATAAGAAGCTGGAATACACTTTGGATGCTCCCACTAAAGATAAGAAGCTAGAATACACTTTGGATGCCTTCATCGAGTGAAATAGTTATTGCAAGTTTTGCATGTGCCCAATGACATGGCACAAATTAAGCAGGCCTTTGGGCCAACAGTTGTGATTAACCCAAAGTTTTCAATTGCGTCATTCAGGATTGTTCTCTCCGATGGCAGCGGCAACTAGCGATTCTAATGTGGGGTCTCAAGACCATGTAGATTACAATTACCAGCC